CAATCAACTGCCGTGTTTTAAAAATATAGTAATTAATTAATCAAAATTCGTAATTTTAGAAATTAATCTTAAATGAATGATTTAAAAATGTAACAATTTATTAAACTAATTTTTATTTTTTGAAAAATAATCTTAATGATTTCAAAATACAGTATTTAATTACCGCACGGTTTGGATAAGTAAAATAATTAAATCTATGTTTTATGATTTAATTTATTCAAACAGCTTACCACATTATAGTGAAATATATATATACGATATGCCTATATGATGTACATGTTATTTTTATTTATTATTTCAAATTTAAATATATTAAAAGTTTAATTGGCTTTTAATTAGCTATTGTCCCTTTTTTTTTCTCATCATTTCCTTTTTTCTGAATCTTTCAAGTTTAATTAATTAATAGGAATTATTGCTGTAATTAGATTTACCAACTTCCACTATACTGATAAAAGTAAATTATGCAAATTTTTGAATAAATGAATAAAGGGAAATATTCCCTTTTGTAATATCAGTATGAAATGATATCAAGAGTATTGATAATTTCATTGTTTATTATTCGATTTATTTTTTCTCGGAAACATTTATTAACATTGATTTGTGATAGTATGTAAGATTTGTATAAGTTATCTGATAAATTGATTACTGATATAATTTGATAAGTAAAATTATTCCAAATTAAGCATTAATTTAATTCGACCATAATTTATTATATGATATGTGATTCATATGATCTGTACTATTATTTGATTTGAAAAAGATTGTATAATAAAAAAAAGAAAAAATGGACGAAATTTTAAAAAAAAAACAAAAATGAAAAGTGCAAATAAATATTTTAATATATTAAATTATTTTATACATAAAATCAAAAAAAAAAACAAAAAAAGTAATAAATTTTTAACGTTTAGTATTTACGTTGCATAGTTGGCAATTAATTAATAATAAAACATATTGAACAAATGAAAAGTTTATGTTTAATTTAAAAAAGTATTATAAAGTTTAAGTAAATAAAAGAATAAAAAATGTTATATGCTGATAATCAATTTGAAATGAATGTATTTTAAAGTTTTTCCTGCTTTTCCTGACAAAAAGACTTTATGATATTTCAGAAGATTAAAAAAAATCTAATCCTGAATTATTCTAATCCTGAAAATTCTAACTTTGAATTCCCCAATCCTATATTTATATTACTTAAATTTCATCCAATTTCTGCTTTTTTTTTTTTAGATGAATATCGAAATGGTGGTATACGTTTCGATACAACTGTTGAAAATAGAGAATCGAAACGAAGGACAAGTACGACAGTACGGGTGACAAGGAGACGTCGAAGCGGTTACGGAATTGCTATCAGCAGGTAGTATCAAGTAAATTTACTAAAAAAAATATTCAAGTAATTTGAAAGTAATTATTCTTCTTTTATTTTGATTGACTTCAGATAATATCAGTTTCAATTTCGAGTTCAGATTATCATTTAAAATTATTATATTAGAAATGATACGAAGTTATTTTGTATCATTTCTATTGGTCAGTAGTGACCAATAGAAATTTTTATCATTTCTGTTGTTCAGTAATGATGATTTTCATAATAAACGATGTTTTTTTTTT